TGAGATTTCTTAATAAAGTCATCGAGTTTGTGATTGTTGCTAGTCCACCCATCGGATAATTGTTTATAACCACAAATACACCACACAGGACTACATCGGAGTATTCCACATGTGGGGCAGAAGCCATATCGAGAATACCGGCTGCCAAAGCGTCTATAAGCAACCATGTAATAGTTGTTATTGTAGTTGGTAAAACCCTTTATGAGTTCGTTGCGTTCCTTAAGCCATGTGGAGTATCGTCTAAAGTTATTGTCATCGTTATTGTACTTGTGTGTTGGAAGTGAGTATATTCTAGCAAACTCACTCACAAGTGTCGGTGTACATTCTTCGCTACTTCCAAGTAATACCAGCGTTATTGTATAATCATAATATGGGTCCTTGCGAATAGCGTAGTAGTAGTAGACGTTATCAGTTTGAGTTGGCTTTACGTTGGTGATTTCTTCGTAAGGTATCCAGTAAAGTTTATCGTATTCATTCACGTAACAGGATTGGATCAAGTTGGCAATGGCTGGATTGTTGACAGTCTCTGATGCTGACGACATGGTAACAGTTCAAAGTAGAAAATTCTTTTCGAATGAACAATGTTAGTTTTCATCTGTGTTACATTACACATTGTTTACTAATCATAAATTAATTAATTTCTGAATTTATTGCCATGGCTTTTCAAATTCTATTCTTTAACTCCATTGCATCAGCCGGATTTCAGCATCTAATTAACACATTACGTATAACAGCATATACATATAATTCGCTTACCATTATCATTGCAACTACTTGGTGTACCATTATTTATTAGCATCAAGAGATATGGTACAGTACAACATGATTAATCCATTATATTAATATTCACTTTTAGTGGCATAATTGCAATTGGCTCCTAGGGGTGAACTGGAAGCTTAACAAGTCAGGGAAGTGGCTATGTTTTGCATTTAAAAGGAATTATGATTATTATTATCCATATCAAAACTTGACATTACAGCTGGTACTAAAATTCGACGTAGTTCATGCGTTTTTTTTACCGATTGGTCAAAATTGAGAGTTGGGAAATAATAGATAATAGTCAACCAATCAAATTTTTTCATAATTTTTTTTATTGCCGTACAAACTCGATTTGTTGGGTTCTTCCTCCTTTTTCGAATCCTCTTCGCCCTAGCTCAAATTTTCAAGAGTATGGTACGTCGGTGGCATCGCATTGTCTCTCCCCCGTGTCTGACAGATGGTTTGCGATAATTCTTGCGCACTTTCTCTAGTCTGTTTTTAAACGGTTGGTCGAAGTTGGTCGAGTTGTTTTCATCAATTATGGCGAGCATAAAGGAAAGCTTGCCGTTATCGTGGATATAGTGGACCACAATAGGGTATGTGAATTCTCGGAGAATTTGGTATCTCGAATCGTTTGTCATTGCCTCCAGAGATCATGATCTAATATTTTCTTCTTGATGGTAGGCTCTCATCGATGGCCCGTTAGATGATGTGCCTCGACAGTCTCTAGCATTTAGACGTTTGGTATTAACCGATATTGTGCTTCCAAAATTACCAAGAGGAGCCGGTTCGGCAGTCATTAAGAAACTCTGTGAGAAGGAAGATCTTCATGGCAAATGGCAGCAAACTGCATGGGCTAAGAAACTAAAAGTTCGTGCAACAAGAGCTGCTCTGACCGATTTCGAACGATTCAAGTTAATGAAACTGAAAAAGCAGGCGAGTATGAAAGAGAGACCCATGGTTATGACATATGATGGTAGCAAGTTTACGGTAAAGCGAACGTCGAGTCTGATTTGAACAGGAATGTCTATCTAACTTGATTACTCTTCACACCCTTACAGCGACGTTATTTACTACAAAGGGAAGTTGCCAAGTTGAAAGCGAAATAATGAATAAATTTATCATGTTTAATTAAAACAAATGAAAAAGTACAATGAAAGTTTTGATCTCTGTATAATTGGCAAATTAATTTTGAGGTACGAGTAATCGGCAGGGATTACGCAAAAAACTTGCAACATTAATTGTGCGCTATCAAAGGACAAAAATCTATCGGGAAAAGGTTGCGGTATTGTAAAATTTCGTTGACGTGAAACTCAACATTGTAAAATTGCTCAACGAGATCTTTGTATGAAGAGTGGAAAGGTCCTTCTAATCAGTCGAATCATTCTATTAATAAATTATCCGTCACAATACTACATTAAGCGTCAGTTCGAAAATTATTAGTATAAATTCTATGCAAATATCGAGAGAAACCCTGTCAACGCCACCTCGATTGATCGGCCGACTAGGATACGGATCCATCGAACAATCGATTAATCATAAGCTCCAACTGATTTGGCTCATATCTAATATATTTGGATTGATTCTTGGAGAACTCTGATTGGCGATACCTATTGTTGAAGTAGAAACGTTTTAGATATATAGCTTAGAAGAAGAAGAAGAAGAAGATCGTCCTAGTTAAATGGTTGTTATATTACCTCTCCAAGAATCTGTTGTACATTGGAAGTAATACAGCTCTAATGTCGTTTATAACCTTATTGCGTAACTCAGGATCAGGTACAGCAAAGGTCTTGTGGTATTTATATAATTCATCAAATTCGTTGTTAAAGTTCTGTGTGCGGTTTAGCAGTAATTTAGCATTAGAACCGATTCTTCACAAGATGCCTGTTACGAATAGAAGAGATAAACTTACTTTGAATCGTTCTTTTACAGATTGCTTATCTGATCCAACTGAGGATTTCAGCGCTCCACCTCGTACATATGTGAAATCCATAAGAAAGCCGAAACATACTTTCCACCTATTATCAAACATTAATAGTAATGATCAATTACACCTTTCCATATATAACCTAGAGTTCAAAACATGCTTACGTGTCTTGATAGGAATCGTTGTTTTTCTTCACTGCTTTTTCAAACTTTGTTTCCATCTCTTTATCCAGTAGGGGCACATACTGAGTACGTATCGACTTGAGAATGTAATGGTAATTATTGAGGAGGAATATGTAAGTCAATGCAGATTTCTTGTAGGCCTTGGCTCTATTTTCGAGACCGGTTGCGAGTGCATCGAGACAATCAGCTATGTAGAAAGCAGAAGAATGGTTAGACAAAGCGTAAGCAAACACGAAACCTTGACGATTAAGACGGATTGCAAACGTCATCATACCAAAATAGCGCCGCACAATCGTACTCCCAGCCGCTGTTCTGTCCCGCGTGAAATTCGCCTCTTTATCCGAGACATGCCAGTTACCGTCTCCTAATGTTGCAAGCATCGCGTCCACAGTCTCTGGATAGTCTTCCAAGCGTTTCATATGTTGTAATGTCTTTAAAATATTATCAAAAAGGGAAATCATAATAACGATTAGATTATAGCGTAAACAAGATAAACGTAATGTACACGATATGACCCGTAAACCAGGCTCAAGAACGCAGACCGATTACTGGTGATAGTTACTTACCGTTATTGTGATTTCATGCACCGTCCCATCAACGGGCACACCCAAGAGTTTCGTAGGAGGATTCTATTTATAAAGTATTCAGAGGTGAGCTTAGCGACTGCATTTTTCGTATGTGTTTCTCGACCAAACGAACAAACCTTAATCTCGTCTATGAAATCGGCAAACGACCGCATTGTGATTCCACGTATGGAATGCGCGAGTTCTCCATAGCCAACATCTTTGTTTCCGGTGAGCTGTTTTCAGCAAATACAAGATATTATTGAAAACGAACATGCCTCCTGACAAACAAAAACTCTCTCTCTTGTAATCAATTGGAATTTCCTACCTACCCTGAACAGCTCATCGAATGCAGGTTGGTTTTTAGTCAAAGTTTCCAACATATCAAAAGCCAAAAAGACATCTGTAGACATATTTTTCTTGACCCTACTCGTCAGAGTTTTTCCAACTTCTACAAACGAGTCAAGGGCCCGTTGTATCGCACCGCGAAAGCCTGCTGCAACAAAAGCAGACGGAAGAATATTTGACGCTATCCCATATTCTGTCTACAAAGATTGATTTAAGGGACTGATTTTTTTAGAATTTGAGACTCTACTATATATACAAGTCGCCAGTATTACCTCAAACATTCTGAGCAAGGCCTCGACATATGAAATGAATCCGCAAGTGCCCTTTTCGTATACTGTTGTGTTTCTCTTTTCAGCCGTGTTAATTGATCCTTGTGCCAAAGATGTCAATGACTTTTGCAGGTATGCAGACCTCACGTCTACATATACTCTAACAAAGTCACTCGAATATCCGAGCTCCATATCCGAGCCTGCAAGGTACGAAGAAAGCCTGGCAAGTTCTTCCAATGGTGCCGTAGGTATTACCGGCATCTCACGATCTATCGTGCAGCAGGTTGATAAGGTTAGAATGCGAAAATCAAAGACCAACAAATAATGGTAAATCCCCACATACTTTTTACAATATATGCAAGCGGTTCTATGGGATCACTCCATTTTGTGAGACGTTCGCGAAACAGTTCTTCTAATTGTAGCATCGCTGCCTTTAATAATTGTTTCTGAAAAATACATTAAGTTTTAATCATATTCGGTAGATAAAATAGAGATGTTTGAATTATATGTGTTTTCTCCTACCAACTGACCCATGGCTTTCTCGCCAGCTCTCAAACGTGTACCGGTTAATATTTCCATTGCCCTCTTACACTTGCCGACCGAGTTGAGGTACGCCTCTAGATTCTCCTCCGGCCTGCAAAGTTTTCGGTAATTGAATAAAAAGAGCAACGATTCATGGGAATCACAGAGCAATAACATAAATTCAGTTAAAATACCCTCTCTTTATCGCTTGCTCTTCCCTCTCGACGAGATCAAAATATTCAATAATTTCACTTAATGCATAACGCGTCTTGTCAATATCTTTACCAAAACACTACAGATGTAAGGATTTTTCTCGAGCGTCATGTCATATTTTTGTATCAAATATGCAAGTAATCGTGTTTCCAAAAGGATACTATCCGTCAAATGTGTTAAGGCCTGACTTGACTTGTGAATTGGCAGAATTGAATCTTCCAGTCTGACGAGACGAGCATCGAAGACATTCAGCATACCAGTCTGGATGTAATTGAAGATATAATTTACAGAGTTAATGGTGGATCTGTTTAAAGATCGCCATAAAAGAACTTGCTCAAAGGCAGAGTCGTTAGAAATGGCTTTCGCACTCTTATCAGTTAGTTTAAAATAGTGACCATTTTTTCAGTCAAGATGTTTGTTCTTCGGAGATTCTCCTCCAAAAACTCTAGATCGGCGTTCTCTTCGTCAAGTCTGTCCATGATAAGGTTGAGATCCCTTTTTTGTGGTAGCGTTTGTAAGAACAAAATAAAAATGTAACACAGGGAAGGATATTGGACTAGTTCATTGGTCGTTCTTATTGTGTTAAGAGAAATCGTTTGTTCACAGAATGCGGGGGGGGGGTTAACCTGATGATTATCATAGTTCCCAAAAAGATTTTTCCTACCAAATTTCGTACACGCGCATTGAATAACGTTCTCTGGTTGCTTGGGTGTCGTGACTCTTTTCGAGATGCAACGCAGTACATTAAGCAAATGTAGAAAAATCGTTGTTACTTTTCCCAATTAATATTCTACGGAAGGGAAAATCATTAACATTTGAAACAATGGACATACATAATCAGTACGCCTTGTTCAGTAACGACATTTACTATATTAACGTAACAATGTAACATTTAGTTTTTATTTTTCAATTACACAATTATACGTTTGTTTAGTTCAGTGATGACGCCAAACCGTGTAGCAAAAACGAATGATTTGTTTGTCGTATACGAATAGCGTGATGTTGACAGAATTACTAATAATCAAAAGTTCCAAGATATCGTAATAAGAATGCTAGTTTATGCGTGGAATGTTGACCAACAATCTACATAATCTGGTAAGCACGCACGCGTTCTGTTCGTTATGGTATACAAGTTTAAGTTATCTGCCTCTCACAACGAACAAGAACTATACTATTTAACAACCAAGGATGCGCGCAAGAATCTTTCATGATTCTTTGTGTGCACATTGGCGTCGAGTGAACGTTTTCTTGGTATGCAGTGATTGGCTTTAATTCAATCTTCCCTAACATGAGATTTATGATGCGACCATACTTTGACGTTATTGGCTGCCAAACGTACTTTATTTCGACACGATAAACTCCCAGTTTCCTAAATTGCAAATAGTTATCAGCTGTTCACTCATTGAACCGGTTTGTAAGAAATAGTGCAACACAAACAAACGGATTGTGTAATGCAGAATTACTGATTATATATGACGTATTGCTATATAGCAGCCAATTATTCAGTAGTATTGCAGTGTTACTTTAATTGGTAATCTTTAGCGGGAATGAGTTTCTTAACTTGTATGGAAGAATTGTCGAGCAATTAACATTGTAACACAAGATGACAAAATAATTTTTCCTATATAAGCCTTCCGCCCCCTTCTCACCTCACACATTGGATTCTTCTAAAACGATTTTTTAAACAACGCACATGCAATATAGAAAACAAGAAACGGATACGATGCCTTACTTTACCAACTTCTTTATCGCAACGTTTATGACTAGCATGTTTCTCTTCTTTTCTGTCCGAATCGATACCGCATTACAAGTATTTCAACCAAGTCAACTATTGACCGGAATTGAAAGCGTCGACCTATATCTTTACTTGAATGACATAGTAATAAGCTGAGTTGTGCCTCTTTACTGTGAGTATACATATAATATGCGACTTTCTTTGCCTGTACAGTGTAGTAATTATCTGATAACTGCAGGGCGTGAAAAAGTTTGGTGTGTCGGACGTATCCTCCAGACGTTTTGACTTTTCGCAATCGCTTTGGATATCATGCTTTCACGTGTTCCTATTTATAAAATCGCCAATGGACCGTAGGTTACCGGAACAATACAAAAGCAATCATAATCGGAACATTAAATGAGCTGATGATGAATGACGTAGATATCAAATATCAAACATTAAATATGAATGTAATTATGAACTAGTGGAATAGCTTACAAGTATAGAGTACTTTGGCTAGGCATTTGTATAAATGTAGAATATTCATGTTAACTTTTTATACATAAATATAGCATATACAAGATACAACTAAAACTAATTCTCCGTCTATATAATACGGGTTTTAATCTGTGCTTGTGTGTTCTATTCATTCATTGTGAGGGTTAGCATTTCTAAATTAGATAAGCAGCCGCTGCATATTTTTTTTTCGTGGTTGGCGTAACAAGACTAACCTAAAATAATCCTTGCCAATTGAAAGTCAACAGTCTCACAAGATTATAATGACAAAAAAGGCGCATTAAAAGATGTTGAACGTGTTAAACAAATTGCAGTTATCAATCTCACTAGATCATTAATTTCAGCCCATTGCATTCTGTCTACTTGAAATAACGTTGAAAAGCTCTTTGATTTCCACAATGACGAATAATATTAACGGACATTAAAATGTGGTCATACACGCATGAAACCGGATGTTTGCCGTTCGTGACTAGTTTACGCCAATGTAAATAGGCTCATCACATGTCACCAAACCGTTTCTGATTATAGTCACGACTGTCTTTTTTTTCTTTCCTAGCGTATATGCTAGGCATAACAGGACAACTCAAAACTGGCGTGCACATAGAATTTAAATTATAGAGACTTAATTTTCGTACAATTAAATAATATGCTTTTAAGTTTCACAGACATACTTTTTTTTTTATTTTATTTCACATTGTCTTTTTTACTATTTAAAGTCGTTACGCCAGTATGGTTAGCAAGTTATCAAGTAATTAAGAGCAGCATATAATAATAATATAATTTATCTCTTTATCTTATCATGCGTTATCTTTAAACATTATGTAGTCAATCATGACTTTAAATCATTGTCGTGATGCACAACTGCCGGCAAACTGCAGTGACCATAACCGCCTCAAATAATAATGACTTTGTCTGGCCAATTATAGCATGAAAATTTACTATCACTGCTCTAATGATGGTTCAATACAATGACAGCGTGGGAATTGTCGGTTCCAACCGTTATATAGATATCTATATATGGTTAAGATCTCTTGTTACCACCGCCTCGACTATGAGCCACATCCATTCAGCCTCGTCGGGAAGCTTCATTTATATTCTCTTATCGTTATAACTATCACCTATTAATATCTGGTATAATTAGTCTGTCGAGGCTATTCTTTAAATAATTCATCTATATTTATCCATGTGTGCGAAAAAGGTTTTAAGAATAAAGAAATTTTCCGTACGACGAGGAAATGGATTAAATCAAACTATGTATATTTAGTAACGAAAGGTTTTTTGATAGAGGCCCACCAATAGGAAAAAAATTTTATAAAGTATAACTATAAATTATGCATGCGTGTTGCGTAACAGAACACACACTGATGCATTAAACCAACGAGAATGCAGTAAAGAGGTATAAGATATCAAAGTTGACGTCTGAGAAACAAGAAAGTGTCAAAGTTTGCAATTAATAAAACCGTGTTGCCTGAGTAGTATGTTAGAAAGAACATCCATAACCTCCCGAAGGCGTGCTTTGTAAATAATCCAATTCGAGGGCAAATTGCAAAATATTCAACAAATCGTCTTGACGCCGAGTAGAACCACCGCGCATGAAAGGTAAAAGAAAAGTTATTATTATGCCAAATACACTTTTAATATTTCATGATCATTGCAAACAAGATTCAATAGTAGTCGACTGATATCACTACGGATATTTCCTAGGAACTCCAACTCTGATTTGCGGATAACAATCAAATTTGGCTCTAAAAAGACATCAATAAGAATTAGGCAATTCTTAATTTTTCATGGTAATTAAAGAATCTCACGGGTAAAGGAACGGAATAGGTTATCAACGATTTATCAGATTCGAAATTATTATCATGCCAAATGAAGGTTTTCGTAAATATGACTTTAAGAAACCATTTTTACTAATTCGAAATTACAAATTATTGTTTAGACATCTAGAGCTCTAACCCAAAAAGTTGCCCACTCTCGGAGGGCAGTATGAATACTAGCAGGCCAAGTTGTGGTAGGTGAATATTACTTCAATGGTGGTGATTATAGTATTGTTGAAGTATTTTGCGATGAAATATTATAATAACATCCTTTCTCAGATTTATTAGTGAGAACAATTAGCGTTCGCATTTATCAATGGCTTTATAAAAATGTCAAAGTTTAATTGGAAGACGTTTATAATTAGTTTTAATAAGCAAAGGTTAGCTTCTCACACACATCGCTAACTTATTATATTCAATATACAGACTTTACCTGCATTCAAGAACATTTTCTTTCCGAAATCTGGTTAGATTGTTTATTTGCACGCAATACCTTTCCATTCAATCATGTTAATCAGCTCTTTATTATTGTTCATGTCCATATAGAGCATACGCATACGGAAGTAGTTAAGATATGTAACATATACTGTACTGTTCGTCTCTGTATGATAAAGTGAAGGATAGCGCTGATTGTACTATTTTTTGTTGTTACGGTCAACTCTTTTTATAAGTCGGGCAAAACAAGCTCAGTCCTTATAATCAGCGGTTCTTGGCGTAGTATCATTAGGAATGTACTATAGAGAAATCGACGTTATAAAGCACCGGTTCCGTATAAAAATGTCGCATAAAAACTCTTGAAGGTCACGCGACTCGGAGACTCTAACACTAAAACTAATACTAAGATCAAGTTTGTGTTATGAATGATCATGAGAGTTGCAGAAATAAAAGCGGATGAAATTAATGATCTAGTGAGA